TGTAAATAGGGAAGGGTTGAGGGTATGAAGGGAGGGCTAGGAATGGGGAAAAAATAAGAACCAAGATGCATTATGCAAAGGTACAATTCCCAATGAGAAATGTAATTGTGTTGTATACCTACAATGTACCAATAAAAGAAAAAAAAAAAAAGAGAGAATCTGTGAGTATTTTTTTCCTTTAAAAAGTTATCCATATAATTCAAATTTGAAAAATAACTCCAAGACCTCTAAGGTTTTTATAGCACAAAAATACAGGCAAAATGAAATCCTGTAACACATACAATAAAAATAATGTCTTTGGTGAAAATGGATTACAAATAATTAAATGATTTCAAAAGGTTAAAAAATATACTCTAAAAATCAGTCAGCCTATATCCAGGTCCAGCCTTATCCTTCACTAGCTATCCAAGCTCTGGCGAGTTAGAGAATGTCTTCGTATTTTAGTTTCCTCATCCATAATATAGGGGCATTAAGAGTACTCAGCTCATAGTGTTGTTGTAGGTTTTAATGAGCCAATAGCTATAAATGTCATATGAACACTGAACACTCAATAAATGATGGCTATTTTCCATCAATATTACTATATGTATGGAATTCTATATAGAAAATAACATTCAGAAAATATCACATTTTTCACATATGATACTTTGCTAAAAGCATAACAATAGGTACTTACTTCTACCCCAAATAATACAACACTCCTGACTCCAGGAATCTCTGCTAATGCTGCTTCTACTTCTGGTAAAACCATTGAAAACTTGCTCTTTGGAAGTACCAGTTTTACACCTGTTAAATCAATTTCTTGAACAGTGCTTCCAAGACCTTTAGGGTACTGTTCTGTTACAATAACTGGAATTCCTAAAATCCGGGCTCCTTGCAACTGAAAAACAAAAACAAAACAAAACAAAACAAAACAACAAAAGAACACAAAAATCATTAGCAATATACATATGATTGTATATATGAATATATATCATGTTTCAGCAAATTGGAACACATAAATAAGCATACCAGTCTTTGTCCCACGCTTATAATATCCCCAAAGTATTTGATGGCTGGTCTGAACCTTTCTTGCATATCACAGCAGAAAAACACAGTACTTGAAGGTGTAAGATTTCCCAGGGTAGTGAGCTACGAGAAAAAGGAAAAAGAATGATTTAGTACTAGTTACACAACGACAGTTATTTCTAGAAGTGGTCAAAAAAGGAACAAAAATGTTCCTATTCTTTAACCTAGTAAGTAAATTTCTAAAATAATTATCTAAAAATTATATGAATTCATATAAAATTTAAAAAATTGTATAAAATTTTCATATAAAAGTATTATCTATAAAGATATACCAATAGTACAGAAATGATTTAACAAATTTTAACTCATTCACATAGCAAAATATTGGTCCGTCAATTAAAAATGTATCTATATTTTTTTCAACGAAATTGTTCCATCTAAGGAGAAATGCTGGATAAATATTAACTTTATAGAGAATGATGTTCAATAATTTTTTTTTTGGTATCGGGGATTGAACTCTGGTCCTTGTGCTTGCAGGGCAGGTGACGGAACCACTGAGCTAAATCCCTGGCCCTCAATAATATTTTAATAATATAAAAATTTGAAAAGCAAATACATAAACACATTAACAAATGGCTTTTTAATTAAGATATTATTTATAACTTTCTTATACTTTTCTTGTATTTTCCAAATGCTACTTAAACATATTTGCTGAATGTTATTTTAAATATAAAATATACTTTTATAATCAGAAAAAGTTTTCAATAGTAAAATACTTAAATTTGATGTTGGTGTTGCTTAGAAGTATAAAATTACTGCTATCAAGATAGAAATATTAAGCTAGTCTCAGAAATAATTTTGAGTTTAAAAAAGGCAATGAAAAAATGTTACAAAACTGGTAAATGAACTGCACTGTACTTCCAGAGGAACAGACCCAAGTTTGACATCTACATTCTTACACAAGGAAAAGCAATGAATTAAGAACAAGATTAGGTATTAGATTTCCAAGCCGCACCTTTGTGGCTGCAGTGGATCTACCCTAACAATTTGGGCCCAGAAAGGATCTAGCAAAAAGCAAAAACTCATGATGAATACAAGAATTTAATCTCAATGGATTCTTAGAAGATCATGGTGCTTTTCTACATGGCAATTAACAGAAAGTTCTTATTGGCCACCGCACCTAACGCTGCCCCCTAATGATCTTGTTTTTCATACCTTAAAACCACCCACAAACCACAATTACTAATGACTTCCTGGCAGAATTTGTGTCTCAAATGCATGGTGGGGACTTCACCACCAGCACAGCCCTGGATTCTGTCTGCCTTAGTACCTCTCCTTGTAGAAGACTCTCAGGAAACAATTCCTATATGAATTAAATGAATCATTAAAACACACCTTTCATCCTTAATGCTGTGCTGTTCTAATTGGTTTGTACTTTAGTTTCTCTATGCCCTGGTCTGAGGTCTCTGGCATTTTAATCCCCTGCTGCAACTAATCTTTAGTATGTGTACAGATTAACCACATATAATGCAACAACAAATTCCTGGTAGAATGTGACCGCCACTTATCATTCTAACACCATGTATATGGCTTTCCTGCTTTGCCAATAAATGATTAAAATAAATACCCAAGTATCTTCAATTATATA